TTGAAAAATATAACATCTTGTTAGATTTGAGGAAGAAATCTTGTGTCATAATTCTAAGCCTGCCATTTACAGAAAGATAAGTTATAGACCAGGAAATTTTTCTTGGAGTTATATAGTCAGAGATGGTATATTTCTATGCAAAAACAAGATCTTGATTTCCAGGAATGAGAGTCCATGGCACCCATCTCGCAGTTGCAGATTAGATATTGCTACTCAAGATTGCATAAGAATTGTGTGAGTTGAGAGTGTCACTCTCTAGGGCATCCCACACACTGTTCAGGCGGCCTTTCTTTCGGTATTGATATCTACAACCAGACTGATGCATCTCTGCTCAAGCCTATTGTCTCACTTAGCCCTCATTTGGGCTCAGAAGTTATTTAGAGTTTTGATTTTGCTCTTAATTCAATCCTTAATGTTCCCAATTTGTATTTATTTGTAATTCCAGCTTACTGATACCTTTGAAAGAGGGAGAGGGGTGGCCTCTCAGAGCAGGGTATATAAATCCATAGGTTCACATATTTTATTTATTTTGTTTTTTGTTTTCCAGGCTCAAAGCTGGTATAGATTGCGTAAAGTGGGTTAAAAACGAGAATACATTCTGTTCCCTACTATATTATTCTATTGTATACATGTATTGATTATTAATTCATTATGCAGTAATTTGTGTCTCTTCCAAAAAAAAAGCCATGCCTATTTATTTTTCTTGTCACAAGGAAACACTGTTTTGTCCAGGAAACTTTAGCATGATCAGCATGTGGAGTATCTTAAGGCCATGTTACAGATGCTTTGCCAAAAGGCCGTCCTGGTTGCTGACCAACAGCTATTTACTGACTGGTCATTTTGCTTCCTACCCTCCTCTCAGCCTTTCCCAGCTGGCTTCAGAATTATAGTTTGGGACTATCGGTTCATCTGGACGTCTGCACCCTCAGAGGAAATCTAGGACTCAGCCTGAAAATATAAAATTCCTTTATTGTAGCCACAGCAAGCTCATTTAGCTTCTACCAAGCCAAAGCTTTGGGTCCTAATTATGCAGAGTTCAGTCCCGTGTTTTTTCCTTCCTCGGAGCTGCCCTTTTCTGAGGCTGATCTCTTCTGCCTCCCTGCATCACGCTTTTAGGACGAGCCCCTCTCTTCCTTAACCGTGACCAAGCCAGACGCTGGTGCTTTGTTTCGCAATGTGCCAGCTCCCCATTTATTTATACATCTACTTTGACTAACACAATCTAGCGAAAGAACGGAAGGCAGTGGAGTGGAGAGAGCTCCTCTTTGGGCTGTTTTCCTCCAGGCTGGGCCCACCACCGCCACCTGGATAATCCCTGTCCTATCATTCTGGCTTTCACCAGGCAGCTTGCCAGGGGAGAGCTGTGCAAACTAGATGCCTTAAGACCTGCCTGCACACTTTTGTCTCACATGGTCAGCCTTGCGGAGGGCTTAGGTTGTAGTCACCTGAGCTCCCCCCAACCTCATCCGGAGGGCAGCGAGCTGGGGACCGCTGCAATATTTAACAGCGATCTGGTGGGATTCATTGTTCTAGCTACCAGTTAGTAAACACATTTCATCTAGAAACATGATGAATTACAAAATGAGAAAGTTGATCTCCACCCAGCCTTTCTTCTTGCTGTTTTCAGTTCCAGATTTTAACAGTCCTGTCTTCAATTAACCCAGTCTGACTGAAGAAAAAAATATAAGGAACTGCCTCCTTGGTCCATACTTGGTCTTCGCATTAGGGCATTACCCATGGCTTATGTGGTGCTGGTAATACCCGGCAGTCCTCCAGGGCTTTTCACTGCCCTGCTGCCAGAAATTGCTTTTATTGGCCGGCCAAGAACAGTAGGCCTCCCGAGACCCTGCAGAGAACACTGAGCACTGGTTTCGCCTTGGAGAGTCTACCCCCTTCATCTTCCCCACATGCTGTGTCCCCCCGCCCCCCAGATCTTTCTTCTTTTTCACTTTTGGTAAGGTGGTGTGTTAATTAAAAAAAACAGTAATGTGAAGGGGCGGGGAGTGGTGTGGGGGGTCTGCCGCTGGATTTCCTGGAGCTGAGTGGGGAAAGTGAGCTAGCTGGAAAGGAGCACGGCTCCTCTCCGTGCCTGGAGAGTGGGCTGGCCCTGCTGAGCAGTAAGCTTCTAGCCTGTAGGCAGCTCTGAGAGGTGTGTAAAGAGAGGCCCACCCTCTCTTCTGAAAGACCCTTGCAACTTTAAGAGCTATTCTCCAATTTTCACCTTGGTTCCTATAATCATTGGCCAAAAGTGTGTGACACCAAAGGATACCTGGCAGGAGCCCTGTGCTGGGGAAGATGAAAGGAGCTGCGAGGGAAGGCCATCTCCACCAGCAGGCTTGAAGTCCGTCTGCTGTGAGCTGGTTCTGGGTTTAGTTTGTGTGGGACCCTCACATTTGGTCTCCCCCAAGCCAGCCTCTACCTTTGCAGACACCTGGGCAAAATTGGTGCGGCTTTCTGTTTCAGATGGGTCTCATGGTCAGCTGTCCCCCTGACAGTAGGTGACAGTACTAGCCAGGGAGCCGCCTGTTGCTTGGGCTGCCTCAACTGTTGCTAGACTATGGCTTCCTGGGTGCTTATTTAGCTAACAAGTATGAAAGCGCCATAAAGCTGATCTGTTGGCCCACAGTCTCTGGGTACAATAAATGCCTGCATAGAAGCATCATAATCATTCTGATATTTGTGCGGTGGATGGGGCTTCATGCTGTCCTGGTGGCAACACCCACTGGTGCTTTAGTGGCCCTAATTTGTCCCAAATCTGTGATAGGAAGTGGTACTTGCTTTCCTGGCAGGAGAAAGAGAGCAATATTGAGGAAACGAGATTCAGATCAGCTGGGAGTGGGGTCGTGTGTGTGTGGTTGTGTGTGTGTGTGTGCGCGCGTGCGCACATGTGTGCAGTGAGCATTACATTGTAGTGGTGCTTTACTGAAACAGGTGGACACAGCCACCGCAGTCCCCTTTTGCGTGGCCATCTCAGGACTGTTAGTGGAGAATTGCTTCTTGATACCTTTGCACCTGATGGTTGAAGAGTGGGCACCTTCTGGACCTTTGATAGACATATATGGGTGAGATGTCGATGTTGATCACTGCTCATGAATGGCAGGCAGAGAGCTGAAGAGCGAGTGGATTCCCACGCTTTGTTAAAATAAAGGTGTCATCCTGGGGAAATGGTTAAAAGCCCAAACATTTGTGCCTGTTGTAGAGTTGCTCCCACCAACTCCGCTGAATCCAAACACGTAAGGCCTAATCTAACAGTAGTGCCAGAGGGAGAGTCCCTTGGAATAGCATTCACAGAAATCTCCCAGCAGTTGGCTGGCGCTTGGTTGTCCCTTGGGCCTGACTGCTCTTCTTCCATTCCCAGCTAGCTGATCTGGAACATCCTGCAGGAAGGATGGGAGGGCACCCTGGTTGGTCTCTACATTTTGGGGATAAGGTCATAGTTCTGTCGTGGGGAGCAGGGCAGGGGATGGAGAGGCATCCTCAGGCTACAACTAAATCTGTTGGGAATTTTGTTGCTCCCTTCCCCATCCCCCGTGCGCAGAAGAGAACTCCCCACTTCCATGCCTACTGTTCAAAGTTTGGGAATCATGGAGTCCTTGGGGTTCTCTGAGCTTGGATCTTTGGGATTTTGCCCAGCTCTTCTATAGATC